ACTTCTTTATTACAATATATTTTTAAAGGACCTTTCTACTACATGGAGCAAGCAGGACAAAGCATACTCAGAATCCCTAATAAAAATCCCAGTTCTGAACAGTATATGTGTTACCTATTTACAACAAGCTGCCTCCATCTCCCTCCCCGCTTCTCAGTAACAAATAAATGCATGAAAAAACATCATCTTGAGCTTCTCAAATTGAGTGTGTCTCAGGTTCTCCCGACAGATTATTAGCCTAACTCTCATTCTTTCTACTCAGAGGAACACTACAAACCTCATTCAAAACAGTTGAGAGAAGACACACGTTTTATAAAATAATTCAAATTACATGGATGAGATGTCAAATTACTGAAACAAGTCAGAGTTAGAAGTTTAACCACTTATAACAAATTAGTCAGGCCGCATTACTGGATTACTTATTGGAGATGAAACAGTCACAGTGGAAACACAGGTGTGGAATGGAATGTCTGTATCACCAGCTCCAACCCTGCAACCACACACAGTCATACAAGAAACAGTCAATTCAAAGGAACTTTTCCCTCTCATTTTCCTGATTACCGAAATATTTCAGACACTCCAAAACAAAAACATACATGTGACCCAAGAGACAGAAACACACAACTACAACACACTATCAGAGTTAAAGTGAGGAAGATGAAGGGTTTTACCAGTGTAATGATCCTCTGCAAGGAATCTGTTCAATAAAATTTGATTTAAAATAATCTCTAAAAAGCATCTACCACACTGCAGGCAGAGCAAAGCCCACCATCCCTTCCCACACACACAACCCTGACAAACTGACAACGAAGGGTGCAGTGGGAAGAATATTCCCAGCAACTAATCCCAGCATTGCCTTAATCCCAGTACTCTCACTGTATATATTCAAGTCTGCACTCAAAACAGAGGAATGCTGCCAGTAGCAGCAGTGTGTGGCATTTGCTCAACACAAGTCAGAAGTGCAAATCAAGTGTCAGGCACTACAAAGAAACAGAGAACCAAACAGTGATTCTGACACAGCTGCCACACACGCTCACGGTCCCCCCGCATCCCGAGCACTGTGCACACAGTCCTGGTTCACAATCTCTGAGGATTAAATACGTGAGGAGAAGTTCCAAAAATGACTAGCCAGGATGGTCAAAGCATTTGGGGCAAATACCCCATAACCTTGCTTTGATCACAGGCTGGAAGAGGCCACAGTGGGTCACCTGGTCCCACACCTCCCTGTTCAAGCAGGGTCATCCCAGAGCACAGGGCACAGGATTGTGTCCAGATGCTCCCTGACTGTCTCCAATGAAGGAGACTCCACAGCCTCTCTTCCCATCAGTTCAGTTCTAACAGTTATCCCTGGACATTCAGACACAGCCAGGACCAGCACACTGAACAAGATGGATCCTTACTGTGACACAGAACTGCTGCACTCATTGTCTCATTTCTTCCAGTGCCTTAGTAGAAGATGCAGGGAAAACCCCAAGAGCTGAAATACTGCAATTATTTTTTCATACATGCCTTTTCCCGTGAAAATTTTAATAAGACTGTCTGGAGAAACTGAGTTTCTCAAGATCTGTTTGAAATAAGGTACATCTATAGTTCACCTCATGCAAAACTAAAGGCAAAGCCTTTTTAGCATTTTTATAGCTTTACTGTTTCACAACACTTTGCCCTCCCATTATAAGCTATTCCATCATATAGATGGAATAACTGAGATAGATGGATTAAATAATTGTTTCAAACTCCCAAAAGAGAAACGGCTATTAGAAAATGAGCAGGTTTTTCCTTCCAATTCTGTGCTCTGTCCAGTAGATTACAGTACTCTTTCAAAGATTACAAAATAAAAGGATAATGTATTCACACAATCTGCTGCATTCAAGGGAACTACTGAGTTCAATTCTGGTCAATACATCTCAAAGACAGAGCTGCTAGGGGGAAAGAGCCAAAAGACAAACAAGTAGAATGAGAAACCTGGAAAAAAATCATTCACACAAGCAGAGGCTGAAAAGGTAAGGACTGCACAGTTTAATGGGAAGGTAAAAGAGGGAACAGAAGTCTGCAGATAATGAATAATGAGGAGAATTTCTTTCATCTCTTTCACATGACGGATATTAAATACAAAAAATATTTGAAAGTGATAAAAGAGAATTTATAGAGTATATAAGTTAACCTGTGGCACACACTGCCACATGATGTTGGAGGCACAGAGCTAAACAGGGCTACAGGAAAAATGCCTGAGATGCACAGAAGAACAATGGCACTAAATCAACTTTCGGTGAATAAAAATACTGAACGAAAATAAACTCTTGTGTAGCAGGGCAAGTGTCTGCCTCCAACTGACAACATTTAGGAAGACTCTTCTCAAAGCTGCTCTCCAAAAGTTTTCTTTGTCACTTTGTTTTGGTCATGTTTTTTTTCTTCTTCCTTCAAAGCCTTTACAAACTGACCACTGTCAGAGGAAACAGGATAGTCTCTGTGTTTGATTCACTGAGCAGCTCTTACGTTATAAGGAGTATGTAACACAATTACTCTCAGCATCCTACTGGGAAGGTACTGAGTTTTTAACATCAATAGTTCAAAACATCCTTCAAAAACAAATCTTTAAGTCTCCTACTGCTGAATCCTGTTATCATGCAGAAGTGAGGACAAAACCAACCTGGGCACAGCAGGGAAGGAGAGAGGGGAATTCCTGACAGCCTGATCCTTAGGAGGAGAAATTTCAGCTTGCTAACTCCACACTGAGCCACATTCATTCACTCCCAGCCAAACACCTCTGAACTACCAGTGACCACACTTCAAGTGACCATTCCCTTTTAAAACAGCAGAGAAAGCAAAATTCTATTTCAGAGCTCTCTCCCACCATCCCCTTACTGAGAGCTTTTTTCGAATATTGACATACACGTACACAGATATAAAAATATATCTAAGCCTGAGTTGGAAAGCTTTAGCACAACGGAAGGAAAAATATATAAATAAATGTCAAGGTCTGCGTGTATTCAACAAATAAAAGCAGAATTATATAAAAGCAACAGCTAATAAAAAAGATTGTTCTGTGCTGCATTTCCCATCTTTCCAACCATTATAGGAATAAAATTATCCTCAGAGAAGATCAAAAACCTTTTTCAAAACTAATACAATTAAGCTTTATTACACTGTTTCAAGTACATTTCTCTCCTTTCCCTTCTAGCCCCCACCACCTCCCACTCCAATCCAGACTAACGGTTGGAGGCATTCTTCTATTTTATTACCAGCAAAATGCTAGTTTTTAAGGGTCAGAAACTATCCAGTGTTTCAAGAGAGGAAAGAAAACCTGTTCTTTTTATCTATTTGCTTTTGTACACAAAACAACTAGAAGATAGTTTCTCTGTAGCTCTTCAGTTCGAATAGGACTATGGGCAGCTCACCTTCCTCCCCCGAGAAGATCCAGCACTAAAATATCCTTCACATTGTTTATAAAGATGTCCCTGTAGCAAGGGACACGCACTTGAAAACACAAACGACAACAAAAGGTTTCAAAAAGAGGACAATGAGGCCTGGACACAGACTTCTCCCCACTCCACTGTCCATAAAGGACAGACTCACAGGTTTTCCCTGTAATTTCCGCTTCATGAAACCAGATCCGGAGAGAAGAACATAATAGAAGCAAACAGCATGGGATCAAGAAATTGCAAAAATTCCCTTTGCCTATGAACATATGGACAACTGTGATAATTAGAACGATAGCTGCTAGATTGTTTGCAATTTCACTGAACAATCCCCATTATCTAGAAATAGAATTTAAAATACAAATGCAACACTGAGCGGCAGTTTTAATAGTTTATTTTTAATGAATTGTATGGATTAACGTGTTGCAGGATTGTATCATGTGAATCTGCTCACAGGCATGTTTTACCACTGATGGCTCAAAAAATGCAGCACGGACAGTCATACAGTAGGAGGGAATGAAAAGAGGAATAGATATGCCAACAGCTCCCTACCGTTTCTATAATCTACAATTTTCCCATGTTCCATACTCACCATCCTGCTACATATTGGTAGTAAAACTGATTGATTTCTCAGTCTCTTTACAACCCACTCTTTTCATTGTTTGCACTTCTTTTTAGTCACATAACACAACTACAAGTCGAATGTATGCAACTCCCTGACAGGAGGTCTAATTGCTTCAAATTGGAGAAGATTATTCTCCACATTTATTAAAAAATAAAGACTACTTATAACATTATTTCATTTTGCCAGGAAGTGAAGAACACATTAGTTCATAAGGAACAGCATGGCTGCTCCTATTTTTATGGCATCAATTTTTAAAAACTCATCATGGTAAACAATTAAACAGAGAAGCAAATCCCACGTTTAGGGGAGAGATTCAAATCCCTAAATGGATTTTCAAAGGTCATTTCAGGCTTAAAAGATGCTTGACAGTGTCTCTTTAAATCATGTTTATTTCAAAGGCTTATCCAGCAAGAAGCAGGCAGTGTACTGCAGCACCACTCTTTGAACTGTTTGGCTCCCCAGAGAAAAATTGTTAATACAACTTTAATTCATATTTATAGCAAAATTTATGTTGTGGTGGTTGATTTTTTTGTTTTTATTAAGGAAAGGATTTTTAACAAAAGGAATAAAAACCAGGGCATTTGTTTGTTTTTTCAATTTAGATTTCACCTAAATCCCACGGTAAAAAAAGATAATAGAGTTTGAACTACCAGAAATCCTTTTTAAAAAATCATCCAGTTAAAAAAACCTTTATCTTTCAAACGCAAATTGCTCAAAAGATTTGTACAGCTTTTTCATCACTTACTTAAGGGGTAGGGGGCAGATAAGGTACTGTCAGCTGACAGTTCCAGGTTGCAGCACAACACATCTTGGTCTGTATCTTCTGGATCCACACAGATCACATCTTGGTCTGTATCTTCTGGATCCACACAGATCACATCTTGGTCTGTATCTTTTGGATCCACACAGATCCGTGTCCTACCCCTGCAGGGGCAGAAATGAAGACAACTCAGCCTTACCTTCTTCTCAATGCGGGCCAACTGCTCTTGATAGAAGGCCTCCTGTCGCTTCAGGTCTGCCTCCCAGCCTTGCAGCTCCACAGCCTGGGAAGGACAGCAAAACAGCATCGGTAGAAGAAGAAATTAAAAACAAACAATGCTAGGAAAGCACATGAGATGCAGACTAGAAGGGACTAAAAAAAAAATCACTGCTCAGGACTTGCGCATGGGATCACCCTCAGCGGAACTACATACCTTAAGAATTGCAGCTTTTTTTGAGTTATCTCCCAATGCTCAAATGCTCTTATTAGCATCCTACTCAAACTCAAACCCTTGATTTTACACTTCTTATTAAATTAAAATGTATAATCATAGAAAGGTGACACTTTCCCATTCCCTTTTTCAGAGTCCCATCTTGTCCATGTCTGTTTTTCCATGAATCACGACAGTCATTACTCAAATGTTCTTCCCCTTACCTTAGAAAAAACCAACCAAATCCTCTCAAATCCTACTCTTTATAAACCCTTGCCCCTTGGAGTGCCCAAAAGCTTCTACGGATTAAATACTCCCCTACAACAGACATACATAGGACTATCCAGATAATTAAGTACTCTCCCCACATACTCTCTGTGCATTTCCCATTAGTACCCTTGGAGTTCCTCTGGCTGGTGCTGCAAGAGGGAAGACGGCTGTCAAAGAGTTTCTCTTCAATCTTACAAATTATAAGCATGGCACTATCAAAACAGTAAATCTGGTATTCATCAGCTAAACAGTGCTCAATTAAAAAGTCTGTGTGGGCACAGAAACAGCTGTGGCCTTCTAGCTCCTTACAGCCAGCACCACTTAATTATATTCCCACCCCTAAACTGAACTCGCATTAAGAAAACATGACATTGATGGAACTGAATCAAACTTTTCAAGTTTAAAAATAACAAGCAGCAATAGCAAGAAAAGATGGCAGTTGTTCTACATCCCCCATCCCACCTCAAAATCTCTGGGGCCACAGAAGTTAACAGCAGGCAGAAGACCTTTCAAAACCAGAATGATTAGCCTGCTTAACATGGACACAAGCCCTGCCAGGCCATAGCATCCCAGCAACATTCTCTTAACTTCTAATGATGGCACAACCACAGAAAATGCTGGTCCAACATGATTAAGCAGCTGGGACAGAAATATCCCCGTGGGCTCAGACCTGTCATTTTACGGCCAAAAGCCATTGCTAACGAGAAAAATTACATCTGAAAGCAAGTTGCTGTGCATGTCCTTCTTTCTGCTCCCCTGCTGATGGAAATACAGTGGTATAATAGGGCTTAGAAGAGATTTTAATCTAGGCAGTGAGGGTGGTTGATAAGCAAGCAAGAAAAGGATTATATGAAATAGGAAGATTGTAGGGGTGTGGTGGTGATGTGGGTTTGTTTGTTTTTAAAGAAAAATAAATATTTTGGTTTCCATGATTGCTATCCCAGAAAACAGGGCCAGGATAAGGTACGACCAGTAGAGACTCATATCTAAATCTTCTCACTCTCAAAGGCACTTGATTAAAAGCAAAATCTCTACCTCTGCTTTAACCTATAGCTGCTATACTACTTCCCACCTGGAAACTAGCTGGAACAGGATGGGGAGAGGGATGAGAATGAGCTGCCCCACACATGCAGCCTGACAAAAGAGACATCACAGCAACAATAGGAGCATTGATGGGTACTTTGTAAGTGCCAGAACTGTAACCATTTTCTGGTAAGAGAACCATAGCTGTTCCTCTGAAACAATCTTCTACACAGAAAAGAACTAAACAATTTCAAATAAAATGAAACAGATGTAAGAAGGTGGGGTGGTCTTGTCGATGACCAAAGGACCCCAATTCTCCCGCAGGTTTTCTGCATAATACCCACAAAATCAGATTACAGTGACTTGTATTTCCTTAAGGGGAAAACAAGGAAGAGAAAAAAGAGTAAGACAGTACTGACCCCTCTGCACGATTCAGATGGAATCTGCATCATATGATGGAAGAAAAAAAGAAAAAAAAAAGAGTCAAATAATAATTTTTCATAAACTCAAGAAAGTTTCTGTTTAATCTAAATAATTATGTATCAGTGCTAGTCTCCTGGGACAGCGGATATTCTGGAAGTACAAAATCAATACATGTAACAATACCAGTGCTCAAGAGGCTTTATTCTGTTTCTGGCAATACATGGATCCCAAACCCACACACTCACTCAACTTTCCAACCTGTGAGTTTGCCTGACATCACGCACCGAGAAATCCAGCACATTTATCCTTACAACCCCTCTGGAGGGGAACACAAACCAAATACCTAATCTCTCAAGTAGGGTGCTGAGATGCAGACACGTTAGAGGTGTGCTGCTCTGCACAATGACGACCCATGGACTGCCAAGGTGACCTCCTTTGGCAGTGGAAAACGCCTCCACAGCCATGCACCCTGCAGCACACAGGCATTCTGTTAGTCACTTCCCCAGGGTCTTGCAAAACTGAGGTTAAAGAACCAAAACTGGATCTCCTAAATGCAGACTGTAACCTCAGAGTACTCCCCATTCTTCCCTCAAAGTAATTTCTCCCATATTATCCCCCATTGTCCCACTTATCACCCATAATGCATGATGAACTAGGGGTTACAGAGAAACCTTGTACTTGCAACACAAACATATTTTCAATGCCTTGCTTGTTTTCAAGAGCTGCTGCTGTTTCAGTGCATTGAAGTATGCAAAGAAACATTCTATTTGTGACAGATCTGCTTCAAAGTTGCTTTCTGCTTCCCTCTATCCCCAGCTGTTATTACTAAAAACTTTAGTACACTTTATGATGATGTTTGAAGTACAAATGGTAGAGTAGAGCATGTGTCATCTGAAATATTCACTGTTCCAAACTGGGTTAGGCAACTAGGGACATTTTGAATGAATATAGGATATTTATTAAGAGTTCCTCTAGTCCTGCTGCTTATTCCCTACCTGAAGTCAGAAGCCTGTGATGTCCCAGACAGAACTGGCTGCTATGATTACAATTTCACAGGGGGTTGAGACTGCAAGTGCCAAACAAAGCATCAATAGACTTTTTGAAAAAAAGGCCTTTAGAACTAAAAAAGAAAGGAGAAGGGAAAACATGCATGATAATACACTGATTTGAAAATCAGATATCAGAAAGCTGCATTTCATTTCCAAGCTGCACAACTACACTGGAGTTTGAACATATTGTGCAAGAGGTGACCAAAGCCCAGAGATGACATCTAGGATGTGTAGAACACAGATAGTGTGATGTCCAGAAGTATGAACACAGAAACAAACCAGAGACAGGGAAGAAAGGGCATACTCAGCTCTAAAACAGAGGAATGCACCCAAAACTTAGAAGGGGATGTATTTCTAAAAGAACATGTATGCAACTGGCCATTGCCCTCTGTCCAAAAGCTAGGTATAAGATGTATTCAAGAAATGCTCAAGAATCCTCTGTGATGGTGTCAGACTTTACAAGGATTATATTCTTACAAAAGGACAGCAAAGGCATACTACTAACATGCTGCTACAGCTTCCATGGGCATGGATCCATGGACTGGTTGGGTGCTCTTTCAAATTTTTCCTCTGTTTTATCTTCACATTTTTTCTGCAGCCCAAGGTTTTTCAGGTTATCTCAGTGCTGCATTGAACAGTGACAAAGAGCCAGGGCAGAGTTATGTGACTCTCTGCCTCCTTCTCTCCCTTTATCAAGGAACCCATTTAGAAACAAACAGTGCAAGCACATTTCTAAAGCTATACATTATATACTGGCTCAACTAAAGGATTCAAGCACTGGACTGCTAGCTGACAGACAGGCCAAAAGAAATATTTTACAAGCTCCTAACTGAGGTAATGAAATATTATTGGTTCATTCTCTATGAACAAAACCAGACACTCTTAGCCATGTCCTGAACTGACACCAACATGCCACACATCAAACTGTGCAACTGATCTAGAGCTGGGCTTCACTCTAGCTATAACCATTCCCAGATTAGCTTTGGCTTTGTTGCATCCCAACATATTCCCATATTTTTATTATTTTTAATCACAGTCCACCTCATCACCTTGTTAAACATGAAAACTAGGGCAGAAATCTGTTTGGGGAAAAAAAAAAGGGGCTTATTGCCAGGGTCAGATGATATTAAGGAATGTGGCACCCAGGAATAAAGTGCAGCATTAGCACAGCCCACAGCTGACAGCTACCACTGGGCTGGCTCTCTCCTCAATACTGTTTGGATTCTGGGATTTGGGAAGACTCTCCTGGAGGAGAGAAAACCCAAAAACTCTCTCTCCGCAAAGGGCAACTCAAGCTAGAAGGAAAGGTCCAAACCTCAGCCTATGAATACTTCCTAAAAGCAAGTCACAGCACTTGGCAAGATTACTGCAAAAATATTTATCTTCTTGGCAAAGCACTTCCACCACTCACAGACAAACTAGCAAGATGATGCCTAGATAATCAGTCAGAAGCAGCACAGGAAAATAAGCTACAAGGATAAAAGAAAGGATCTCAAGTCTATCAAATGCCTACTTTCTACATCATTCTGTCTTTGCTGAGAGAAGCTATCAGCTTCCCCCAAAGGTACACAGTTACATCTCTGCAGCAGCACAGCAGAGATGTTTTGGCTGGGCACCTCAGCTTGTCACACTTCACAACTGCAAATTCTAATACCTCGTGCTTTCCCAATTCTCTTCCAGTCCTGGTAGCAGTCCAGGTGGCAAGGGAGAAAAACAAACGCTATTAAGGACTCCAAGATGAGAAGAAGGAATTGACAGAAATTCACTAAAGAACAGAGCTAACTCCAAAATTAGCTAGCTGGCATGTTCCTGGCCAAGTCTAAAGGAAATGGCAGAGCTGAAAGGGCAACACTGAAATAGTAAGAGGCAATTTGTGTACTTCATGCCCAAGACTGAATAGCAAAACTTTACAGGGAGGCTTGTACCAAGCAAGAAGCCATGGGGGAGCCCTGACTCAACATCCACTGGCATCAGCAGAAATATCACCATTACTGTGGAGCTGTCTGCAATCACTATTCCAGACAAAAGGCCTACAAAATCACTGGCTTTTTGTCCTACCTTTCATTCTATTGAAGGCAGGTGACCAGGCTTTATTTTAGAAACCAGATGCAACTCATGACTTTAAAAAGCAATACTGGTATAACCTTCATTTCCTCCTGTTTCTGCTACCTCTCTTAGCCAACAATACACATCACCAGATCAAGTTTGGTTTCAGCAGCTGTAAGCTACACAAAAGGAACCAGTGAAAATCTTTATGGAGGAAATAATATGCAATTTTCTAGCTGAACACCTTTTAAAATGTAATGACAGAAAATAAAATCCTGCATCTGTGCTCAGCAATAACAATCTGTACATGCACAGTAACAACATGACACTTGGAATAAGCAAGATCCAGACAAAAAAAAGAGAGCTTACCCAGGCATCCAAATCCACAGGCTTGGAATAAAGACAGCACAAGACAGAAAGGAAGGGAAAGAGAAGAAAAAGAGAAATCAGTGATTTTTGGAGGCTGCCTGCTGCTGTGCAATATAGCTTTTAAGATGACAAGTTTAGAAAAGTTCCTTTAAAATGACAAGCATCTTAAGCAATGCAGTGCTGTCCCCTGTTGGGAACTGTGCTGTTAAAGCATAACAAAAGCACATGCACCCCCTAAACCAAAACCAGAGCAAAGCCCCTACAGCCTGCTGCAGAACCCCCATATAGGGTGGGAGCCAAGCAAAGGAAGCTGGGAAACAGCCAGTTCCAGGGAGCCATGCAAGGTGCTGCACAGTGCTAGAGATGCTGATACACAACATGCTCCAGAGAATGTGCCAGTGCTGGGCAGACTCAAAAGGAGGTGGTCAACAACTGGGCTGCTTCCAATTACGTGCCAAGAACAAGTCATCTTTTAAAGGGCGTTTTTGAATGCACAAGCTGACCTACGTAGCAAGTCATCTTCTGCCATGGACAATTTCAGTGATTCCTAACAGAGAGCCAGTTGACTGATCAGGTTCCCAACCAGACTCTCCTTCATAGGCAACTGAAAACCTTGAGTGCACAGTCCAAACCTCTGTCACAGCCAAGCTGCCTCCACCTGCTCCTTTTCTTTTGCCCACAAGCCTATTTAAGTGTGCAGACAAAACAGCCTGCATTATTGCCTCTTCTTTACTTGTTACTACTTTTTACTTACACAGTAAGCAAGCAGCAAAGCAAGTACAAGATGATAAACATTTCATGCCCATAACCACCTCCTTTTGAAGCCAAGGCATTTATGAGGCAGGCACAGCTCTCATTTACTGTCAAGGGCTGCAAGCCTTCCCTGCCTCTCAGGGCTACCTTCAATCAGCAGCACATTGGCCAAGCAGGAACTTCAGAATGGCTGGCCTTTTTTCATTATGATTATTTATTTGAGGGGAGTTGACAGGGCACAAGGAACTTTCCTCTTGGTCATAGTTCACTGCCAGAGGGAGCAGACAGTGGAGGGTAATGTTTTTATGGGATCTGCCATCATTTTAATGGCACACAGAGACTACTTCAAGTAACTGAGGGATGATGTGTTATCAGATATGTGTGTCATCCTTCCTCATCCTTTGCACCCGCTTAGAGGGTTGGAAATGAACATCTACATTTCAGCTGAGGGAAGCCAATTCCCCCTTTCTGCAGATAGGTTTGATATAGCAGCACCAAGTCCTTGGCCAAACAAACCAATGCACAACAGGTGTTTACTGGTAATCACTGACCAATCTTGACAAAAGCCTGATTTGAATAACATTTTTCTTCCTGACGATTTTTACAGTCAGGACAGATGCGCTTAATTTTGTTTTTACATTTTAGCAATTACAGGTCTGTCCATCCTCACCAGATGGACAGGAGGAACACAGCACTCTTCATGATGCCTGCTATTATTTCAGCAGGTAGGTCATGCACACCATTAACTCTTTACTAGATGTACATCTGTCATCCCTGGGTGCCTGAACCATGAACTGACACATTGCTGGTGGACAAGCACTCACAGGACAAAATAAACGAAAGGTACTAACTCAGTGGCACTGGACAGGGGCTGAGAAATGAGAGCAAGAAGAAGGAACAGCCCTATCACCAATATGTGTCCCATAAGATACAATGCACAGCAGCAAAATCAGGGTTTTAGAGAATATAACACTGTTACTAATCACAGAGCATCTCTTCTGCAGTACTGCCAATACTCTAATTCTGTCAGCCTTCAAGAGAGGGAAAAATTATTACTCCAAGAATAGGACCAGATACACTCCACTGAATGGAAACAGGAAAATTAGAAGGTGTAGTAGCACATATTGCTGCACTGGAAAAAAAACCCTGATTAAATAAAATAATATAAATAATAATAATAAAAATAATATAAATAATAATAATAAAATAATATAAAAAGGAAAATTCAATAGGGCTGCTGGTTTAAGTTTTGCTAACTTCTAAGCATGTGCCAAGACATCTTTGCAGACCTGCATTTACCAGTCTTGATAATGAGAGACACAGCCTGTCCACTAATATTTCTCAAGTTTAAGCAATCCATTTAAGAAATGAGCAATATCTGTTTCCTTGCTCCCCGAGTTTCACTTCCAGCTCCCAGATAGCAGCTTACAAGTTTTATAATTCCAGCCCTGGGATACAAGTCATCTTTCAACACCCTTGGTCAATACTTCTGAACTCTTCTGTTAAAAAGTTTTGGGTTTTTTTTTTTTTTTTTTTCTCCTCTTTCTGTCCCACTGGACAGAAACCACGGGAACCAGAATAAATACTGGACTTAATTGTTTGAGGTCAAAACCCAGTCAAGATATTCGTCCTAACTGTATCAGAAACAAAAGGTTGCTAAAACAGAATCTCAGGTGAAACCAGCAGCCACTGTCCTAGGGATTCATACAGACACTTGGAGAAGACTCTGGCTGGATATGGGAACTACACGAGTAATACATCTGAGCTTCTGCAAATTCCACACTTGAGCATTGATTATTCAGGCAGGGATGCCTTCCCACGTACATATTAACAGTCCAACTTCCAATGGCATCAAGAAAACAGCGCCAAAATCGTATTTCACTCACAAGAGCAATTCCCAGCAACTTTTCCCAGACTCACTACACTACATCACCCTTACAGATCATGCACACCACTCAAGTCTGTCACACTAGGGAAATGTAAAAATGGCAGTGAGCAATCAAAACACAGTTCTGTGACTGGCAGGGAGGGAGGAAGGATCAGCACAGGGCAGCGGCCTTTGGAAGGACAGTGCCTTTGTTACCTGACTGGAATCAGCTTCCCCCTGAAGTCCACTTCCTTGCCATAGTCAAGAACTCTGTCACAGAACAGATTGCACTGCAGTGTGACCAATGACTCAGGAATCCAGACTACCAGATTGGTAGAGATCTCCTATTTAAAAACTCAACAGAAAGTATTTTTAGGGGCACTGCCAGCTTCAGGAGCGGAAGATAGAGTGGGAGATGCAAGAAATGAGAGGCAGCAGGTGCCCAAAACCCAAGGCAGCTGTTGGCAACAACTTTTACATTCATGTCAGTATCTGAAGAACTCTGCAGCACATATTCCAACATCTTGATGACCAGACTTCATCACTGAATGAGCAAACAGTCACTTCTTCTTAAAGCAATAATCCAGCTCTAAATTTATCATGGTCCAGAATTATAGGAATTCAAGTATTTAAAGAATATATCTAGACATTCAGTATCCACTCCAGACTCCTCAACTCTTCCAGTTTAGTGAAAAATTGAAGCAGTATCAATATTAAATGTAATGAGAGTCTGAGATGTAACCAACTGACAATGGAGAGGGAGAAGGAAGAGTCACTGAACAGCAGTACATTTTGAGGAAAGGCTGGGATGAAATTGCTTAACTCTAATGCATACAGACCATACACAATTCTATAAACATTAAGATGGGAAGCAGCCAAAAAAACCTTGGCCCTTTTATGATTCAGGGACAACTGCATCCTAATACTTATGGCACAGCTACAAATAGGTTTGCAATGGGCACGGTTCATGGTTTTCATTTAAAACAAAATTAAGATAAACTATTTTATAAAATCCAAAGTAAACCATCTGCTTTCATTGCTTGCTTTAATACTCCAGCCCATTTCCACATTCTCCTTTTCCCACCATCACTTCTATACATGCATACATACAGTTTTCATTTTGCAGGCTGCCAACAGACAAGGCATTCAATGGTTTTAGAAATCTTGCAGAGCATAGGTTCTCTAGAGATGTATGCTCAAGATGCTTATTTCTGATAGTAGGTGAATCAACAACTTGCTCTAAATTTTTACCTTCTCACTTAAATTCCTACTTTGCCTATTACACTTAAGAACCTTGAAGTCCCTGACAAATTTAGGACAAGAAAAACAAACCAACAACCAAAACTTCAAGAAAGGGCATCATGAAATTTTGTATTAATTATGACTTCTGATCCCAGAATATATTTCAGACTGAGTCAATGAGGTATTTCTCGTAAAGCTAGAAACGAAGGCCACTCAACTCTTCTTGGATTATTTCTAGCTCATAATCATTAATGCAGACTCCCATTACACTAGCCTAAGGGTGGCATATGGCTTTCTAGGGATAGGACAGGCGGGGGAAAATAACAGTTATGCATGCCTGCATCCCAATCTCATTGCTGTGCCTGCATAGGGGGACAGAGCTCTCTCCTGCCAGATTTCTAAATACCAAATATATCAGCTTTTGAGTCAAACACATTACTTCACACACCACCACTGTTTTGAAAAAAATCAAGATGGCATTCATAATCAACCCATGTCCCTCCAAGCAGTAAAATTTATGAACCCTGAGTGTTCAGATGGAATTCCCTTACCACATTTGCTCTCAGACACTACACACAATTTTTACCTGCCCCTGAACAAAACAGATATTTGTAGGCACAGCCAACAGATACAGACCAGCACAGTAAAATGAATACAAATTTCCTGCCACCAGATTAGAAACTTTTTTTTTTAATTTAAAAGTTATTATTGCAAATATCATACAGTTTAAAAGAAATGCAGTTGACTTTGGAGCTACTTTTTAACACAGAGAGACTGTCGTAATTACATACTTGGTTAAGAAAATTCTTGAAAGCCTTCAGTCATGGCCAGGCAACCTCTGGCTGTCTATGAATTCTTCAGCAGGTGGAGAATCAGATGCACTTTCAAACAACACAGCTTGTTTTTGCCCCTCTGACAGCCTTGTAAATTTTCCTCTTTTCCCTGCTCCTTCATCCCAGACATATACAAAGCACACTTTACACAGCTTTCTGGGGGCAGATTCCAAGCTACCAACTTGTCAAGGTGCACATGGGAAAGACACACAGTAATTAACATTTAGTATAAATCATGTGGATTCCAAAGCCTTGCTGGAAGAACTACATGAAGCATAGGGGACTCAAAATAAATAGTCTGGGGTAGTCCACATGTATAAGCACGC